ACACACACACACACGCACGCACGCACACACACACACACACACACACACACACACACACACCTAAGGACAATTTAGAGATGTCAGTTGACCTAAGAGTAATGTTTTTGGACTATGGGAGGAAGCTGGGGTGAATCCACGCATTCAAGGGGAGAGCATGCAACTACATGCAGAAAAGCCGGGAATCGAACCCGAAATCTACAAACTGAGTGAAAAAATTGTATTTTTGTTATCATTCGTTCAAGATTCTCATCATCCAGGCCATATTCATTCCAAAAAAAGAACATTAAAAACAATCCACCGGACTTTGTTTCCAAGTTTGAAGATGTTTTGCTTCCCATCCAAGAAGCTTTTTCAATTCAAAATGTCAGAATTTGCGTTAAGTTCGAGGTTTTTATACAGTAGCCCAACAAAGCCTTGTTTTTGTTTTGAAAACATGCAAATTGTGACGGACAAAGGGGTCCACCCCTTTGAAGAAAGAAAAAACTCTGCAAGGGTATGTAAACTTATTAGCAAAACCCCATGTCTGCTTTTTATTTGCCAATTTACACAGGATAACCGGAGCCTACGATTCAGCTCAAATGTATGGCATCTATTCCGTAAAAGTTTTTAAAAAATCCACTGGACTTGGTTTCCAAGATTTGAAGACGTTTCGCCACCTCTCCAGGAAGCTTTCTCAATTCAAATGTCTGGATCCGCAGTGAGTTTGAGTCTTATAGACAAAGCCTTGTATCGCTTGGATTCCATTACAGAATGACTATGACCTGGATGACTGGGAATCTTCATCAGCATGTATGGCATCTACCTTTTGCATTTATCAGTTTTGGTGTTTTCCTTTTATTCAAAGAAGTTTAGTGTTGCTTTAGCAGTGGATAACCTGTGAAACCATGCTTTGCTGTTTTCTTTTGGGTTGTTTTTTGTCTACAACAACAAGTGAAAAACTCCAAATATTGTTTTTGTTTCTCTCCCTGTCTCTGGGCACGCTGGGAAAAAGTAGACAGGGGCGGAACAGAGTGGAGCATTGGGTTGTTGAAACCAGGCCTAATACAGAGAAGGAATATATTCTACTGGAGGAAATCATAATGACCTTATTGAAACATTAAGTTCCAGTTACTTTACGTTTTAAAGATTGTTTATTTTATGCATGAATTTTTTTTATGTTTTCTATGTCCATGTTAACACCATGGTGCTTTAATTTAAGAAACATGTTGCCATGAAACTTTAAGTTTTGGTTCATAAAGAGTAGAACTAAACTATTGGTCTAGGTTTATTATTCTGTTGCATATCTATGTGATATTAAAGGTGAAGGATTTTTCAAAAGACCCGCCCTGTGCCAGAGCATGCACGAGCCCATTTCTCCTTGTGCACGCCCTATTTAAAATGTGCTGTTTTAATCGCTCATACAAGCTTACATACAGCCCACATACAGCGGGGACTATATAGTGGATTTTATAGTTAACTGACCGTTCAGACAGATTATCTCTGCTTTTTAATCCCCGTTGGTCATGTAACTTCTCCTCCACCGCACGGTACCTGTGCCATCTTTGTTATTAGTTGCCATTGTCGGGTAGCGGCAGCCTATGGTGAAAGCCAGCCGCTGTGAAAGCAAATTCCATAACACTTTGCGTAGAGAGCTCTCCGTGCAAAGCATCGTGGGATACATCTGCCTCTTCTGAGGCCTTGCTTTTCTTCATGTACACTTCATAGACACTTTTTCTCTTATGAACCTCTGACATTTTCAAATAACTGTGGTAAGAAAGGTGAGCTTCAATCACTGTATGAAACCATGGCTGACCACACATATGCGGCTGGAAGTGCACATGCACAGAAAAAGATAGTGGATGAGCATGTAGGACGGCCTTATATAAACTTATCACCAGAATGATTGACAATAAGGAGGAGCAGGAAAGGAGGAAATAAAACATTGTAATAATTTAACATTATTGTGCTTCCAGGGCGCCTTATTTGTGCATTTTCAAGTTCATTCTACTTTGAGGAACCACCTATTCACACTTTGAACTCTGTGAGGCAAACTGGGCCATAGGAGACCCAAAAACGTTGCTGGGGACTTTCACTGGTAAAAAAAGACATTAGGGTTTCCTCTGTAATTCATGATTAAGTCATGGCATTTAATGGGCCCAAAGGCAAAAATGAGAGAAATCCTTTGGTCGGGTAATTTCCAGAATGCTATAGCTGAATTTCCCATTCTAGTTTGCTTGTACACAAAATATTGTTGTTATGATAGTCATCATTTTCCCAAGACCGTAAGATATAGTTGGAACATAGAGAGACTGATAAATAAAAACGTTACTTTTTGGATCAGTTCTTTCTTTTATAGAGAAGTCTTGTTCTACACCATGCTGAGGCTGACCGTCTCTTGGCAACCAACTACTCCTTCACCCAACCTTGATTTTCTCCACCTGCAGGTCAACGTTGAGTTGATGTCCTGTTAACGTTTTTGACTTGGGCCCTGGCTCAGTCAGGTAGACAGTGGTAAACCATACTAACCCCACTGCTGGCAGATCCAAGGCCTGGCTCTGGAACGGTGTTATATTATCCATTACTGGGCAAAGTTCATAAACTCAATCTAAAGCCTGTTTTGATTCTATATTTGATGCAGGTCAGGCTGGTTTGACACAGATTTGTTTGTCTTGTGCCTGGTGATGGACTGGCAACCTGTCCAGGGTGCACCCTGCCTCTCACCCATAGACAGCTGGATATAGGCACCAGCACCCCTCGCAACCCCAGCTGGGATAAATCATCAGACAAAAAAGGATGGATGGATGGATGTTTGTCTTGTTGATCATCATTGCAATTTGGGTGGGATCATTTACAGCGTAGCAGCCCAGCGGTCTAATAAAATGAACACAACACCAGAGCACAGTCTGCTTCTCAGTCTATACTGTAGCTTTGAAGCCGTGTCAAACAGAGGAATTAAGAGCCAAAAGTTAGTTGATGGTGGGCTGAAGCTACCTAGTGCTAGCTTGCTAACATAGCGCTCATATACTCAATCAACTCGGCCCTAAACAATTTAGATTTTGCATTTTTAATACTTTTTCATTTTATTAAATTTTTTATTTGATTTCAATTTTAATTGAACTTTATTGATCTCACATTGGAGTATCTTACCTCTGCATTTAACCCATCCCCTTGGGGAGCAGTGGGCTGCCATTGTGCGGCGCCCGTGGAGCAGGGTGGGGTTAAGGGTCTTGCTCAGGAACCCAGAGTGGACTTGAACCAGGTACTTGCAACCCTCTGAGAGCCCTTTGAATGAGACAAATTAGCACAAGGGGGGAATGGGGGTCTCACTTTGGACAATGAACACTTGGTGTCTTGACAGGGATGCAGATAGACTTCTGATTGGAACTCTAATTGTAATTTGAGGTCACCTCCAAACATGAGTGGGAGCATGAGTTTGGGGTCGATTAGGCAAAATGTCCAAGTTTGCCTTCATTTGTGAGTAAACCGGGTTTATATGGCTAGCTTTTACACATTATCTAAAAATTATATAAAATATAATAAACAATAAAAGTGTAGCATGATATTTTTATGAAACTATACATTTTCGATAATTCAGTACAGAACTGCCACCAAAAACAGAGATAAAGCACCAAAAGTGGCAGTAACAGGTGTGTTATTAGGAGCCATTTTCCTCGAACAGCCAAGGAGCAAAACAATCCCGTCTGAGCTCAGCCAAGTTTGGATGTGTGGAGCAGGAGAAGAAGCCAACATCTTAAATGAGGTTTATCAAAGCAGACATACTAATATTTGTTTCTCACCAATTCCATTCTAAGTGACAGGAGTGGTGTGTAAACAGCTGGTTTGTGTGCGTCCCAGGGGGATAGGCATTAAAAGGGAAAATCCAAAACGCACACAAAACAGCCATCATCTTAATGAGGGCTTACAGCGGTTTGTGAGGCTGGCGCACTATTTGCAAATAGCTCATCAGGAATGAAACAGAGAGAGAACGAGGGCTCGGCTATCACTCAGTTTCATATTTCACATCGCTTAAGATTTTTTTCAACACCTAAAGTACCTTATTTATATTCCATCACCTTATGTCATATTAGGATTTTCTCTGATCTCTGTTGTCAGGAAGCCATGTGACTGTCCTTCAAAGTAAAAACGAAAACAGTATTTCAAGTGGAGCTGCACGTAAAATGTTTTCGATTCCAAACTGTCACACTTAATTTAAACAAAAGATTTATGTGATGATTTAGGACAGAAGCTGCACAATACATCTTTATTATCTAGTCTTGGAGCTTTTTTATTCTAATTGTTCAAATCCAAGTAATATAACACAAGTATGCATTCCCATGATTCAAATCACGTTTTCAAGTTTAAAGCTTAACTTTCAGCAAAGGAGACTTTCTTTGGAGCATTAACTTAAAAAAAAATCCCTAAGCAGTGGAAGAACAAAAGATTTCCAGGGATGGCCCTAAATGGCTCTACAGAGACTCCCAATTTGTTCATGAAAATGCATCACAGCCCATAAGAGCAGGCAGCTATTATTAGTGCCAAAATATGTGCAGGCAGGTTACCAGCAATCTCTCTGCTTATATGTAAAAAATGACTACTGAAAAAGAAATAGCTAATTTCAGAGAGCAGACAGAGATTTGGATTTATTTATTTATTTGACAGGGACAGTGTACTTTAATAAGCATTCCTGCAAATTCACAGGAATTCTCGCAAATCTTAAAATTGTCTACCAAAAAACACAACAGTGCCTGGTTCTGCTGGAGGTTTCTTCCTATTTTTCCTCTCCACTGTCGCTACAAGCATGCTTAGTGTGAGGGATTGCATTTGAGTCAATGATTCAATGCAATCAACTGGTTTTCCTTAGATTAAAAACTTTGAATCAATTTGACTGGATGATCTGGTGAACTGTAAAGTGCCTTGATGACATGTGTTGTGAATTGGCGCTATAGAAATAAACTGAATTGAAATTATGGATTTTACAATAAAACATGCAAATATGAAAAGAAATAAAAACAGCACAGCGAAACATTTTAAAGTTGTTTATTGGTACATATGAGAACAAATCAACCAAGAACAGAACATGACAACAGTTTTAGTTAGAATAGTTATTTTGTTAAAGACAGACCACTACACAAATCAGCACAGTGTGGCATGCTGCAGCAATCCTAGTAGCCATCTTCTTGTATCATTTTAATGCATTCAGAATATTAGCTCTGTTGAGTTCAGCTTTTGCAGTTTAGTGATACAATTTCCAAATTTCAGCACATTGCAAAACTGGCTTAGAGTGGTGCTTATGTAATGTTTTAAGAATACATGCATGCTTTACCTTTTTTAATATTCCTCAAATCTATAGGCTACTGACTTGTCTCCAAATTCACTACTCCCTGGCTTCCAGCATGAGATATGAAGAAAAAAACCAACATAGATATGTTTAATGATCTCCAGCATACAGAAACACAAATGCATACATGATACAGTATCCCTGCTGCATTATAATGTAAAAACCTAAAGATTTATTTTCTGTCACTTACAATCCCATTTGTTCAGATTTAACCTTTAAATCACATATCATATATTTTGGCTCAAACAGAATGTGCATAATCTTTCTGAATGGCTAAAGATAAACAAATGCTGGCTTCAAGTCTTACTGTAATATAATGAAAAGGGAGAATTTGAGATGCTTTATTGGCATTCCTTTTAATATTCTATAATGGACATAAAAAAACAACTTAAACTCTAGAGTGATCTCCGTATCTTATAGTACATTTAATTGTATTTGGCTCAACAGGGATAAAAACAAATCAAACTGCTTAAACATAGAAATAATATTATGTGGGAAAGGAACATTTACAACACACTATATCTTTTTTTTGTTCCTGTAAATGTTTTTTTTTAAACTTTGACAGTCGCCTGAAACCTGGACAAACATATTAAGAACAGTGTTAATTTGGCTAATAAGCTAACCACAAGATACATAGAATGTTTGTTTTTTTCAAACAAACTTAGTCCCTATTCTTGCATTTATTTGAGGGTAGCAAGGTTTTAGCAAGTTTAAAGAATCTTTTTATAAATGTATTTTTGAAAAAAGCTAGCGTACTTAGCTAAATGAGATTAATCTGACCAAATTCAACTTGAATTGGAAGGGAAAAAAGCTGCTATGGGGATTTTTGATAACTAGCATGCATGTGAAAAGTTTTCTACTTTGTTCTGGAGATGTTTTGATTTAGATGCAACAATCACACAAGTCCAAGAACACTGTTTTTATAAGAAAAACAAATGCCGTGTAGCGCTGATGTCCCTTTAAAAAGCTGTATTATATCTTTATTAATCTACCTGTTGTATTTATTTATTCCTCATCCATACAACTAGATGTTGATGTCAATCCAAACTCCAATTATAAACCAAATATGACTAATCTAATCATTTCAATACAACTTAAATGAAAGAAAGATAGTTATTGTGTCCAGTTAGTTCAACGTTTTATTTCCTAAAGACACAATCACAATAGCTCTTAGCTTACTAGCTAAATCAAAGCTGTTCTGAATATTTTTTTAAATGGTTTTAAAGTGTCTTCACAAGGAAAACAATTGGTTGGGTTTTTTGTTACTTAAGCCAATTTACACCATACATAACCAATTGGCAAATTCTTCATCTCTTTGAAACTGTCATTTGCCAAAAAAAAAAAAATAATGTTTAGAGTCAACTGTTAAATAGTGACTCTCTTGCAGTACTTTCATGCTTTTGCGCTTCCTTTGAAATATTGCTGTTATTACACAAGGTGCCTTAGAACCCATCAGCAAAATATCAATAACCTTTGAGGCCTTTTATTGTCCTCAAATGGTTTTAGAGTTAAACCAGGAACATTTCCTCCAAGATCATTTATGGCGTTCTGTAAATCTGGAACATGAAATTTCTCACACACAGTTTTATATTAATATATTTAAACTTCAGTTCAAATAAATATGGATCATATACAAAACTCCTTCAATATGATTTTTACAGCATATAGGTTCAGATGAGTCTGTAAACTTGAACAGGTGTGCAAAAGAAGAACAACATAATTAACCTTTATTTCAGTCCAAAGCGCTTGCTGTGTTAGCGGGTTTAATCAGGGTACAAGATGAAACCAGAGAAGGTGCTATACTTGTTGTTATTGCCTCCATGAGCTTTTCCTCCATCCAATTTAACATAAACCTCATCTCCAGAGTCCAAGTGTAGCACAGCACTGTTACTGGCGTAGTCATAGTTCTGGTCTGCGTCTTGAGCTATTGCACTGGCCCGGACCTGGTGTAATAAGAATAAAGAAGAGTAATTATCACTTTATTAAACATATTGGATATAAAGACTGAGGGGTAAAAGTTCACATAGACCTAAGAGGCAAAATAGAATAGCAGTGGTGTGGAAAAAATGTTAAATTGTAATTTCAAACCTTCAAAAGTTGATTCAAGGCTTAAGTTAGCAATACAATATGATAGAATATAAATACAATATGATAGAATCAAATCTAAAGAAGCAGCTTAGAGACTTCAGGATTTAATGCTTTGTTAAAAGCCTTAAGAAGTATTTGTCATGTTAGTCTGCAGGATGGAAGGCCAAAAGTGCCACAAACCCTTACATTTTATAAGGTTTTAAATCATGATTATAAAATTTAAAGCTTTAATTTATTATTTACTAATTCATCATCTGTTTGGTTATTTCAGGGTTAGTTCTGTCAGCCTCGACATTCAAATGAGTTAGCAGACACAACGATGCTCTAAACCAGGTCTGTAGTTGAATTGCTTTGGATCTTAACCAATCACATGTCATACTATACATTACACATGAAAGAGAAATAGATTTCAAATAACTGCAATTTTACTCTGATGATTAACTAATGAAATATTAATTTTGTTATAAGTTAATGAGACATTTAAAAATAAATATTTATTATATTCATTTCTGTTTTACATAATTTATGAACAAATATATTTGATGTTGTAAACTTGTCAAAAATAAAATGACTTGATAGCTTGGTATAATTATTTTTTATTCTTTATTCTACCATATGTATACAATGATTAGTTCTAAATTAAGCTTTGCATTTTCAAATCCATCCATCCATGATGGGCGGGGCACCAGTGGTCACAAAAGATTATTAAAAAACCCTAATTTTATGTATGAAATCTAAAATTGTTCTCATTATTTTCAATATTCATATTGAATTTCTTTACTTTGCAAGTTTTGGGGGAATGTTTAAAGTGATTTATAGATGTATAAATGTATATATAGATTTATTTATCCACTGAAATTATTGGGTTTTCATACATGACTCATTAACTTTTAGGATTGTGTCTCTTTCATCCTTAAAATGCATCGAGCTGCAGATTTAAAGGAAAGGATGAAAGAGCAGCCATCCAGAGGATATATGGAATAGTAGCTCTTAAAAAATCTGGGAATCTATGAGAATAGAGACTGAATTTATCGAAAGGTAGCCTATATTTATTGAAAGTTTGAAAAGATTTTGCGTCAGGTAAAATGAAAACGAGGTGCCTGTGCCATGCTGTGCGCACTGCATGCGTAAAATCCTACCCAGCTGTATAGCTTTAGACAACATTCCCCATAAGAGAACCTAAATGTTATAGAAATGTTGGTGGAATATTCAGACTACCCATTGAACCCTCCTCCATACTCTGAGTCAGCTCTACCTGTCCGTTTTTGCACAGGTCGGCCCACATGCTGGTGCCATCCCCTCCGCGCATCAGCACATGGTAGGTGAAGAAGTAGATCCCGGACACATGGCAGGTGAACTTCCCTGTGCTCGAGTCATAGTGGTTTCCCAAGTTTGTGATCACGTCGTCGAACTTGAGCACCTCATATCCCTCGTGTGGGTTTTTCAGCCCCACGTAAAAAGCGATCCTGTAGCCGCTCATTGTGGAGTTTGCGCCGTCTCCATCACCGGTGTCCCCTCCCGCAGCTCCAGCAGCTCCAGCTAAAGCGGTGAACGCCAGTTTATTGTCCCCCCTCTCTCCCGGCGGTCCCCTCGGTCCGGGGGGTCCAGGTTCCCCCGGAGGACCCCTGGGTCCGGGCTTACCGGGTCGCCCCGGCTCGCCGCGCGTCCCTTGTGCCATCGGCGGCAGGGGAGCAACCCCGTTCACATTCTGGCTCACCTCCATGGCGGTGGCTCCCCCCGGTTTGGGGCTGTACGGGTCACAGACCATCCGACAGGTGCCCATCATCTCATAGTAGTGAGCGGAGGTGTCCGGGGAGCGGAGGAGCAGCAGGGGGACAGCGATGGTCAGAGCCAGGAGAACCATGGCGACGGCGGTCACCGCAAAGACCACGGACCACTTCCTCCGGGCCGCGCGTGGACCGACGGACGCCAGAAAACCCGACGAGCCGCGCTGGAGGGCAATTGTGACAGTTATGAGAGGGAGGCGATGAGGCAGGCGGAGGTAGAAGAAGTTGTGAAAGTGCGCTGAAGTGTCTCCACCGCTTCAATCCGCGTCTTCAGTCCCCCGGGCGGCTGTGAGCGAACAGGAGATGCGCGCCTTGGCTGGATGGAGGGGTGAGCGCACACAGCTGCGTCCAGCTGTTTGCACGACCGGAAGGGAGAACTTCAAATTAAAACAGCGGGGTGTACGCATGAATGGGAGTAATCATTTACAAAATAGTGTCTAAACGAACGATTTAAAGTCTGCACCTCTGGAGGTCCGGGTTAATGTGGACTCTTTTGCAGCTCAGTGTCAGATCTAATGAAATTTAACTCTGTGCTACTTTTCCTCACATTCAGTATGCTGAAACTAACAGCCTCCTTACAACTTTGCACCACCATAATAAAATCAGTGTTTTATTCATTCCTGAACATTTTTATCAAATTAAATATCTGAAAAGTGTGGCATGTATTTATATCCACCCCTGAAGTGAAGAATTTGTTGAGTCAACTCTTTGATTTCTGATTCTGATTCCTGCAGATTTTGATATATACAAGCTTGACCCCACAAATGCAGACTTTGACTGGGTCATTCTTAAAAACTGATATAGTCCAAAGTGCACCCTATAAGGGAACTTTGCAGCCTTGGGTATGCAGGACTTATCTCAGACACGTATAAATATGTAGTGTCAAAGTACATTGACTCTTTTAATATTGCCACCACTTTTGGCATTTACTTAATCATATTTAGTTACTTCACGCAATTGATTCATGTTAGCAGGGTAGGACATGAAACAATTGTGCTTAAGTAACTACCGGTAAATATGATTAAGTAAATGCCAAAAGTGGTTGCATTATTTTTTGTGAACTGGAGTAAGATACACTATGTAGAGAGTTAATTTAACACTAATTCATAGTGGGACCAAAATCACTTGGATTGGTGTTAAATTTAACTCTTAAAGTGTTACTTTTACACTGCAAAATTTACTATATATAGTGAACTGTTGGATGCATACATTTTTGCTAAATAAATTGTTTCTTTGCCAAAATATTTTTTACAATAAATCAATATCTTTTATTTTAAAAATAATGAATAACATTACGACTTTATATTATCTTAAGGGAAGCAAAACAGTTCAGGAATAGTAAGAATTAGAAGTTCTATACCTATTTACAGTCAACTTTATAGATTTTAGAATTGATTGATTTGAGACAATTATGCTGGCTTCTTTAAAGTTTTTTTTTTACTGTTGAGATAGTTAAAAATTCAAAATAAAATGATGATTAAAAACAAATGCCATATTACTTATCTTTTATATATATATATATATATATATATATATATATATATATATATATATATATATATATATATATATATATATATATATATATATATATATATATATATATATATATATATATGTGGGGAATATATATTTAAAGTGAGTTTTAATTAGTTCAAAATATTCTTTGAAATCCATGTTCTGTGAAATAAATGTGTTTCAGTTTATGCACCTCTTCACTTTTTTTAACTCAAGATCTCTCGATGGCACTCAGGTGTAGCTGTAAATGAATGTGATTGGTTATTTTCTTCTTAAACATAAATGAATCCAGGTCAAAGTCAGATTTAATGAACAGCCTAAACTCGCAGCAGCTAAATACATGACCAAATGTTTGACTCAGGCAGAGAGGGACACTTTCAAAGTCACTTCATATGGCTGAGGGCAGGTTCACAGTTGTGTCATCAGCTGACTGACTGCATTGGTCACTTCACACACACATTCGGAGAAAGAGAGAGGGGGAGGGGGGGCAATTTATGCATGCTGGATGCGGACCAGGGATGTCTTCGGGCGGTCGACACTCTCGGCTCCATGCTCTCTGTGACTGCAGGGACATATTTGATGTCTTGTTTCATGCGACTGAGGGCCACCGGCCTCGGATTTAGATTGGCTATCAAATTAAAATTCATTCCATGCAAATCATTACCCTAGTGCATGCAGATGTGTCTGACATGCCTCTTTAACCTCTGTTTTAAGTTTTCCTGTGAGACCCTACAACTCTCGCTAATTATGTGGATTCTAACTGCACTTGTGTTTCTACCATTAACCCGTTATTCAATGAGAGGGGACGCTTTTTTGATGCTTAATATAAGCCAGTAATTCTTTAAAAAAAAACATTTATTGAAGAACCTTATATACTTCTAAACTGCGGGCCAGCAGAGCTAAGCACCTGGAATTGGAGTGCAGGCCCCACATCCACAACAGAGGCTTTACAGCTCAAGGCAACGTGCAGAAATCTTCAGAGGTTGAAGACGAGGCTTAGCCTCACGATCCTACTGTCCCCCAACCAATTCCAGCTCAGCTATAACTCCCCAGAACACGGCTGCTGCAGCTGCTGGCATGCTGAAAGTGAGAAACAGCACGACGAGCAGCGGCAGCTGGCTGAGAAATTAAAACCCAAGTTAAAATCTGAGGGAAACGCTGTGGTGGCCAGAATGAAAACATCACATCCTGTTTTACATTTTCATCCCCCTTCAGAGCTTCAGTAGTGAACAAAAACATACAAACTAAAACCCTAAAAATGCAGTTGGACCCACAGAGCGCATTCTCTTTGCTAATGCAGCTGCATGACCTTTAGAAAGGATTAGTACAGTGAACTATGTCTTTAGGCTACGGTGAGCCAAACAATCCACATTACGCACTGCAGCCTCTTAGATTATCCCAGCCTGCAGCTTTGCCATGACTGCAATTACACTGCATGTTTCTGCACTGCTTCATGATGCACAAAAACCTTATGCTGAGGCCAAAGAAGAAAAGCAGCAGCCTGTATAACTTTGGGTGATTGTTCAGTGAGCAGAGAAACTGGGAGCAGGTGTGTCTTTTTGGACTAAAGGGGATGCTCTGGGGGTGTGAACCTATTGATATTAACATTATCTTTCAATGAAAAAGGTTTGTCAGAGAGGATTGATAATGAAACAGCATTATAAAGACAGGGGAAGCCTGTTGTAAAAAGATATTTAAAGATTTGAAATTATGTAGAGTATCTTGTAGAATTGGAAAGACTGCATAGAAACTACAAATCTGACATTCATTAATAACCTCCTCCACTAGCAGGCTGAGTAAGGAGCATTCAGAGGCCAACAGGTCCCAAATACAGATGCTGGTCATAAAATTAGAATATCATGAAAAAGTAGATTGATTTCAGTAATTCCATTTAAAAAGTGAAACTTGTATATTATATTCATACATTACATACAAACTCATATATTTCAGATGTTTATTTTGTTTAATTTTGATGATTACAAATGACAACAAATGAAAATCTCAAATTCATCATATCAGAAAATTAGAATATTACTGAAGACCAATAAAAACAAAGGATTTATAGAAATGTTGGCCAACTGAAAAGTATGAACATGAAAAGTATGAGCATGTACAGCACTCAGTATTTAGTTGGGCCTCCTTTGGCCTGTATTACTGCAGCAATGCGGCGTGGCATGGAGTCGATCAGTCTGTGGCACTGCTCAGGTGTTATGATAGCCCAGGTTGCTCTAATAGTGGCTTTTAGCTCTTCTGAATTGTTGGGTCTGGTGTATTGCATCTTCTTCTTCACAATACCCCATAGATTTTCTATGGGGTTAAGGTCAGGAGAGTTTGCTGGCCAATTAAGAACAGGGATACCATGGTCCTTCAACCAGGTACTGGTAGCTTTGGCACTGTGTGCAGGTGCCAAGTCCTGTTGGAAAATGAAATCTGCATCTCCAAAAAGTTGGTCAGCTGCAGGAAGCATGAAGTGCTCTAAAACTTCCTGGTATGTGGCTGCGTTGACCCTGGACCTCAGAAAACACAATGGACCAACACCAGCAGATGACATGGCACCCCAAACCATCACTGACTGTGGAAACTTTACACTGGACTTCAAGCAACGTGGATGAAGTGCCTCTCTTCTTTTCCTCCAGACTCTGGGACCTTGATTTCCAAAGGAAATGCAAAATTTACTTTCATCAGAGAACATGACTTTGGACCACTCACCAGCAGTCCAGTCCTGTTTCTCTTTAGCCCAGGCAAGACGCTTCTGACGCTGTCTGTGGTTCAAGAGTGGCTTGACACAAGGAATGCGACAGCAGAAACCCATGTCTTTCATACGTCTGTGTGTGGTGGTTCTTGAAGCACTCACTCCAGCTGCAGTCCACTCTTTGTGAATCTCCCCCACATTTTTGAATGGGTTTTGTTTCACAATCCTCTCCAGGGTGCGGTTATCTCTCTTGCTTGTACACTTTTTTCGACCACATCTTTTCCTTCCCTTCGCCTCTCTATTAATGTGCTTGGACACTGAGCTCTGTGAACAGCCAGCCTCTTTAGCGATGACCTTTTGTGTCTTGCCCTCCTTGTGCAAGGTGTCGATGGTCGTCTTTTGGACAACTGTCAAGTCAGCAGTCTTCCCCATGATTGTGTAGCCTATAGAACTAGACTGAAAGACCATTTAAAGGCTTTTGCAGGTGGTTTGAGTTAATTAGCTGATTAGAGTGTGGCACCAGGGGCCATCAATTTTGAACCTTTTCACAATATTCTAATTTTCTGATATGATGAATTTGAGATTTTCATTTGTTGTCATTTGTAATCATCAAAATTAAACAAAATAAACATCTGAAATATATGAGTTTGTATGTAATGTATGAATATAATATACAAGTTTCACTTTTTAAATGGAATTACTGAAATCAATCTACTTTTTCATGATATTCTAATTTTATGACCAGCACCTGTAAGTCTGAAATAAGCAGCAGAAATCCGCTGCTCATTTCAGAGAAACTGTCGACAGGAAAATTCCAACCAAATACTTAAATATTATGGAATTTATAATGAAAAAGAAGGAATCAGGCATCTAAATAATGTTGCTAAGCACTACAACCAACCTGACATCTCTCATTAGTCAGAAAAAAAGAGAAAAAAGTTTACAAATATTTAATTACTTTCATTATTATACAGTGAATTGTTGGCCAGCCACTGTATTTCTGTCTGTTATGCATTTATAAAATGTGTTGTACTTATAGGGAGTAAAAAATCACAGCTCATATTTGTAAATAAGCCATCTGTGAACTACAACAGGACAGCTATGAGAATTTGCAACATCAGCTTCTGTCTTAGCGCATAACACTGAACCCACATGAAGCCCACTGAAGACACCTCTGTCCCCGATTGCATGCAACATACTAACAGTGAAAACCTGTCAGACGATATCTAGGGCTACCTGTCCACCCGACGCTTATGACCTTTTCTTTCCACAATATTAACCTATCTTCCTGTAAAGAAAAGAAACTGGTGTATTATTGAAAAATCTGAAAAATGTAATCCGGATGCAACTAGCTGCAACCCTAAGCGAAATAAACAAACATGATGCCACAATGGAGCCATGAGGGTAAAAAAAGGGGGCTGGTGTGTGCGAGACGTACATGTTTGTGTGCCGCGACAATGATGTAGCACAGCCAGCCTTGGGGATTCAACCTTTTGCAAGTGGCAAAGGCAGACATGATGAAGTCATGGTGACAGCGTGTAACCCGCGGTCAGACATCTTTTTAACACGCGTTTGTTTTTTTTCCCCCTACCAATCCCAAGGCCAGTTTATCAAATACACCAGCTTTACACTAGGGAGGGGAACAGCAGGACTTCAATATTAAAGAATTTCAGAGAGAGGGAACATGAGATTAGCCTCAAACCTCTTAAGTGTTGGTATAAAAAGACTCGCTAAAGGCCACTGTCATCATATGCTCACAATGCTAACACCTGCTTATATGTAACAGGTGTAATGGGAGCCAAATTACCTCTTAAATTAGTGCTGGCTTGCTAATATGAACTAATCAGCTCTTGACTGTGTATAATCCTTTGAGGCCATGGATGGGATGTTGGCGACGGTAAAATTAAATTAAGATCTAGTGTTTTACACAGTAAATACCAATACTGGTTCCTTATATGTAAATTGGGCAAAACATTTTTGCATTTTGTCACAATACAACCAAAAACTTCAATGTATTTATTACGATTGTTTGTGATATATGAATAAAAGATTGTATAGTTCAGAAGTTTACATGGTAGATATAGAAATCTAAAACACTTCCAATCAGAAATTATTTTATATATTATTATTATATGACATAACAGATTTTATTTGAGATTTCCATGGCCTCCATTTGCCAGATAGGTTTCCCATTAGGTGAATTGGGGAACTCCTCCAGATCCTCAGTAGCCTAGGGAAAGGATTACCACCAGGCTCTACAGCAGATATCATCTATGGAAAAATACCTGGCATAAGTTCCCAAAACAAACCTTACATGCCAGGGCATAGCAGGCTCCATCTGAAGAAAAGTCAATCTACAGCAAGATGCAGCTGCAGCCATCTTTCTCTGTGGGTACTGGTATTTTATATGAATGACAAGAGTCCGTGCTTCAACCCCGTCCCTTATCTAGACATCATGGAGAACACAAGAGAGTTTTATCACACAGAGATTACATCCACATCTACCTGACAGAAACCTCTCCAGCTCTTTGAGTTAACACAATTTCTCTTTTTCAGAAGGTTTTGGGCAAATGTTTTCTGATGTAGCCATCTTCTGCAATTACTTGACTATTTTTTTTTTTTTACTTTTATATTATGATATATATAATACCATATACTCTTTTGCCAGTTAATACCTCTGTGCTATCTGTTTTTCTGTAACCTGGGTGCAAACTATGGGGTTGGCAAATTGATGCTTTTAAATTTATGTTCCTGTTATAGTAAGATAGCTTAGCTTTGGTTACAATCAGCCAGAGTGACTATTATCAGACATAAATGTACTTTAATAAAATGTCATGTGTGAAATGTATGCACACATACCCCCATGCAACCAGATTGGTGCATGTTATATTTAGTATTTTCTCGCTTAAATCTTAGTTTTATCTATTTGTTTTATCTATTTGTTTAGTAAGAATATTAGATTAAAGGTAGAGAGTTTAAACATTACTGTCAGTTGGCATTTATCAATATTAACCACTTGGTTGATGTCCTGTACATATATCCGCAAGCTCCTTTGTCATTTCAAACCTAGAGGCAATTTTTTCCAATACTGCTATCTGTTATCATCATCATCATCATATCATAAAGTTCTACGTTAAAAGTGTGTCAGTAATGGTTTAAATGGGCACATACAATTATACAGATAGATCTCTGCACGCTTTGATGGATTTTCCTAAAATAAATCTGTTTTAAAATGAAACGGGCATACAAAAAAAAAGTTATTTTGATTTATTTAATAAAAAATAACTTTACATGATAAAAATTTACTTTACTCCATTTTTAAGTTACAAAAACATAAAAAAACATAATTTTCAAATTTTTTGAGTTTGCTTATTTCTAAAAGTCCCGTTACTATCCAGCTCCTTTCATATATTTCTCCTGTATTCAGTGCCATGTGACGTCACTCTCCATACACACTTTATATAATTAGTGAGTACGGGTACTTATCAGTGTGTCCAAAATGAGTTTATATTTGTTTATTAATTACATACTTTCTATGTTTTTTTTTTTTTTTTTTTTTTTTTTTTTAAGAGTCTGCCAACAGCAAGTCGCAACAGCGCCCCCTGCAGCCACAGTGTAATAAGGCCTTGGGAGGTTAAAAGTAAGATTATCTCTTTTTTTTTCATCCTGCCTCCAATGCATATAATAGGAGCAGGGCGCCATAGCTTTGGAAATATAATAATATCCAATATAATTCTTTGTTTGCAAACAAACCAACCAACAAACAAAAAACTCTTAAAACAAATAAATGAATTTATATTAAGATAATATTGTTCTGTTTTTCAGTCTCACCACATGACCGCAGAAATAGCAGAAATATATTTTTGTTTAGCTTTAAAAAGTACCATTATATTATATATATATTTATACAAAAATATTATTTATTATTATTATTATCAATTAATTAAAAAAAATCAGACATTTCTCGGTTAGTGGTACAGATATAAGAACTCCCATAAATACAGAAAACACTTTTCTGTTTTATATACAGCCCTAAACTGTAAACAGCACAGTAAACAATAAAAGTCACACAGTGGAGATCGCGCGCCGCAGATGTGTCGCGCGCTGCTTTATCTTGCCCTGACAGGCGGGGGGCGTGGCTTCAGTTGCGTCGTCTTCCTACCAGGAAAGAGCCGCTCCAGTCTATCGAAAACGGAGCAGAGGGTAGAATAAGCTGCTGCCAGTAAGTAAAGTTTTACTTTTAGAACAAAGTAGAAAGGTCAGCGTGTTTTCGGAGAGGATGGATCCATAATTAAGGTTTCGTTTTTCTTCTAATGTCGCGCTTAAAGTTAAAAGGAGGTAAAGTTTGCACGAGTTCAACCAAGGACAGTCAGCCAGCATGGTGGCTTCAACTCACTTTTCTGTTATGATAAACAATAAATCTGTATTATTCAGTTTAGAAAAACACATTCCAGAAGTTTTAAAACAACCTTAAAGAAGAATAGGCTCAGTTTCCTGATTATTCGCGGTTCATCTGATGATTTATAACTTTAGAGGTAGGTTTGGTAGATCTGACTGTGTTGGTTGGGTTGGTTATAACTAACATTAAAGTAGCTCCTACCATATTTAGACCTGCCTGATCTCCATTTCTGCTAATATTGGATGGCAGCAGCTTTGACAGATGGAGGACATGCCAGCTGAGACTCACAAATAATAGGAACAAGGCTTCTCTGTACTCAAAACAAGCAGACAGATGTCAGATGCAAAGCCACTGGCAAATCTATTAGTAGTGTTTCTCTTATTTTAGCTCCTTCAGACCAGGGTCTGAATCATGGAAGAGGATTAGGGCCACTGGAAAAAAAAATGATTTTTACATTTTATTTCAGTTTAATATGGGAAAAAAGTCAGAATTCTGGAAAAAAATTCAGAATTCTGAGATTAGAGTCAGAATTCTGAAGAAAAAAAGTCTGAATTCTGAAGAAAAAAAGTCTGAATTCTGAGATTAAAGTCAGAATTCTTAGGAAAAAAGTGAGAATTCTGAGATTAAAGTCTTCTGACTTTTTCCCCCCATATTAATCTGAAATAATATTTAAAAATCAGTTAACTTTTGATATTTTTTCAGTGGCCCTAATCCTCTTCCGTACTGAATAGAGCAGTTTGGATAGTAGGAAAATCACATGATCATAAATCTAACCCATGATCCTCTCTGCAGATTTGTAAGAACATCATGCCGGATATAATGTCAAGACCCTTAATCCGGGAAAGAGGCGTTGAGGGGGCCAGGCAACTGGAAGCCTCTGTGTCTGATCCCAGCACTCCAGTGGTCGGCATCCTGGGCACTGGAGACTTCTCCCGCTCACTGGCCAGGAGGCTGATGGCCTCTGGCTACCAAGTAGTGGTGGGAAGTCGGACCCCCAAACGCTTTGTAGCTCTTTTCCCAGAGGAGATTGAGGTGATACACACACTCACGGTATAATTGGTGCTTTTGTTTCTTTCCCCTCTGGGGATAATTATACATCCTTACTCTTTTCCCACAAGGAGGTAATTACAGTCAGACAGTGTTAAACAAGTGGCTGGATTAAAATTTATTATTAAAAGCAATGTTCTTTTTATTAAGGCGCATTTATTCTATTTGCTTTGTAGTGAAAGATTTCAAACACAACATTTCAGATATGTTTTGAACTGAAAAACAATTGCAGATGTTTCACTTTCATCAGGTTGAACACCCCCCCAACACACACACACGCACACACACACACACACACACACACACACACACACACACACACACACACACACACACACACACACACACACCCTTTCATCACATTTACACTACCCGTTTAAAACCATGCAGAGATCGGTCTGAGTACGGTAACAGAGATAACTGTTGAGTGTAAATGGCAGGCAAAGTGAACTGGACCATGCAAGACACAACAGAACCGTGCTAAACTAGTACTAGTTTATCAGTAGGCGCAGTTCAGTTCTAGCTCAGTTCTTAGATAAAAAAGAGTGCATGAGCAGACTGCGCCATCTCCTTACAGTCAGCCTCCTTCATGACTTACTGACAATAAATTTCAGACATTCATGAAAATACAAGCTTCCCTACCGTGCCACATGATTTCCAGTGATGATGCTGCTTAGCAGTGTGCTGAACTTCAATGTCTGTTGTGGTTTCCTGCGTCTGTAAGACCTGATTAGACCATCGATTAACAAAAACCTACTCTGTCAAGTTAATTCACCAAAGGCTGCCTTCTTCGCCTGACTCTCCGCAAACAACGAAATATCACAATTATAACCAAACTTCCTGAACGTTTAGGGGCGCCGTCTTGTTGATTTGCTTCTTTCCATCTAGAGAAAAGTAATACCGTAAAGGGCAGATTATACTTCTGCAACTTCACGCATCAAATGTTGCTTGGGTCTGGTCGCGTTCCAGTTTTGCTGTTATGCTTCTGCACCGTCGGTCTGGAATTTCTAGGGACGCACAGCAGTTTCCCACCAAAAGCGCAAGGGGGAGCCTATTCGAGAACTTACGAGAACTTTGGCGGATGGTCATGAGAACTTTGTTTTGGCAGAGACCTTGGCATCTTTATATAATTATTCTGAGACATTGCACAAGTGGTTGCACTTCCGAACCTCCTCGAGTAACCTTTTGTCGTAGTTGTACATTGTAGTTGTTCCTCGGTTTTTAAAAATCAAGTCAAGTCAAGTCAGCTTTTATTGTCACTTTCTTCATATGCACAAGACATACAAGGGAAATGAAATTACGTTTTTTTTCTATACCATGCCAGGACAAGACATATACAAGAATGACATTTTACAGACTGACATAAAGTGCGGGACATGACAGGTAACAGTGATGGACTGGCAACAATAAGTGGTCAATAATAAAAAATGGCACAGAATCTAGAAGGAAGACCACACAGACAGCAGGAAAGGCATATGAAGGACCAATCACAGCTGCTTTTTGTCTGCGCACTTCCGCTAAAGGTCTGTGCGGGTTTGCGACCATCCGACACGTAGTGGGGATTTTTTTTGAGGTGTGCAACAACGGTGGCATAACCTCTGCGTGGGGGGGCGTGGTCACGCACAGAGACGATTTCACGGTTGCAGAGGCTATGCGTCAGAAGCATAAATTGGCCTTAAAACAGTTGAAAGGAACCAAACTCGGCACGGATAACAGATCCAAGCTCGGTCCAAACTCGGCACAGATCGGTTTTCGTAGGGTAGTGTAAATAGGGCTTATGCTATGTCTCTCCAGCTCTACTACTAAAACTAGTAACAACAGGTGTAGTAATTGGTAGCCGTTAAAATCAGGACCTCTTTGTTCCAGGTGACCACCCAGTTGGAAGCAGTCACTCAGGCAGACCTGGTCTTTGTCGCCGTTTATCCCGAGCACCACTCGACGCTGGTGGAGCTTAAACCCGCATTGGCTGGGAAGATATTAGTGGATGTTAGCAACAGCATATGTATCAGTAAGGGTCCATCCAACGCTGAGCTCCTGGCTGACTATTTTCCTGAGAGCTCCGTGGTGAAGGGGTTTAACACCATATCTGCCTGGACGCTGCAGATGGGCCCCAGAGATGGAGGCAGGCAGGTAGGAAACATCCACAGTTCCAATGATGGTTTCCCTTCTGACTGAGATCAGTCTGGAAGCAATAAAGGTTTGTTTTGCCTGCAGGTTTTCCTGTGCAGCAACAGCCAAAAGGCCAAGAACACGGTGAAGTCATTATGCCACAGGATGGGCTTCATCCCCGTCGATATGGGCCTCCTCTCGTCTTCTCTGGAGATAGAAAATATGCCTCTCTATCTTTTTCCCTCCTGGCGAACACCTGTTCTTGTCACATTTTCTCTTTTCATCTTCTTCTACCTGTACAACTTCCTCCGGGATGTGTTGCAGCCCTTGGTCACCGAGAAAAAGAGCGTCTTCTACAAAATGCCGATTGAAGTTGTCAACGTCACTCTTCCCTCTGTCGCCTTGGTGATGCTTTCGCTGGTCTACCTGCCTGGTCTGTTCGCTGCCTTCCTCCAGCTACGCTCGGGGACAAAATACAATCGTTTTCCCAACTGGTTGGATCGCTGGCTGACCATGAGGAAGCAGTTGGGACTCTGTAGCTTCCTGTGTTCAGTGCTGCACGCTGTTTACAGTCTGTGTCTTCCTCTGAGAAAGTCTGCTCGCTTTAAACTGATCAACATGGCCTACAAACAGGTGAGATGAAGAAGCATTTGATTGAAATGTGTTCAAAAAGTGCATATGAACCCCTATGTGATATTTCCTTTCATAAGGCCCAACCACAGCATAACATATGCTCCTTTGAGTTCTCTTCTAGCTAGTTTAGTTCTGTGTTTGGTGTCCAGGTGAAAATGGGTATCGAGGACTCGTGGGTAGATGAAGAAGTGTGGAGGATGGAGCTCTACCTGTCCGTAGGCATCATGGCGCTCGGACTGCTCTCCCTGCTGGCTGTCACCTCTCTACCTTCCGTGGCCAACACCATCAACTGGAGGGAGTTCAGCTTCATCCAGGTACCCACTTACAGATATGCTTCATGTCACCCTTCTTTTTCTTTCACTTACACAGCCTGACGACAGAGAACGAGAAGGCAGACGTTGCAGAAAGGCAGGTGACGTTCCCGCAGAGACACACTCTGTCTCCC